AGATGATGTGGTCCTGTTGGCTTCATTGGACAGTGATCTCCAGCTTTTGCTGGAGTGGTTCACAGCCAAGTGTGAAGTGGCTGGGATGAGAATAAGCTCCTCTAAATCAGAGACCATTGTCTTCAATCCAAAAAGGTTAGAATACCTTCCCCAGGTCAAGGACGAGGTCCTGCCTCAAGTGGAGGAGTGTGAGTATCTCGGGGTCTTGTTCACGGGTGAGGGAAAAATGGAACGTGAGATCGATAGGCGGATTGGTGCTGCATCTGCAGTGATGCAGGCGCTGTACAGATTTGTTGTGGTGAAGAGAGAGCTGAGCCAGAAAGCAAAGCTCTCAATTTACCAGTCAATCTACATTCCTACCCTCACCTATGGTCACAAGCTTTGGGTAGTGACCGAAAGAGATTGCGGATACAAGTGGCTGAAATTAGTTTTCTCCGCAGGGTGGCTGGGCTCTCTCTTAGAGAAAGGGTGAGAAGCTTGGTCATCTGGGAGGGGCTCGGAGTAGACTCGCTGCTCCTCCATGTCGAGAGTAGCCAGTTGAGGTGGCTCGGGCCTCCGGTCAGGATGCCTCCTGAACGTCTCTCAAAAAAGGTTTTCTGGGCACGTCCAACTGGGAGGAGACGCAAGGGAAGACCCAGGACATGCTGGAGGGACTATTTCTCTCAGCTGGCTAGGAAACACCTGGGATTCCCCCGGAAGAGCTGGCCCAAGTAGCTCGGGAGAGGGAAGTCTGGGCGTCAGCTTAGCCTGCTGCTCAAGTGACCCGACTCCAGATAAATTTTTATTATATAGCACTTATCACATAGAGATAATCACAAAATGCTTCACAGAGATTAGCAAAACAAAACAAACCATAAAGCCATTAAATCCTAACGCTCTTAAAAGAAAACAAAACATAACAGCAAATATCATAAAATACATTAAAATAAAAAAAACAAAGTCATACAATCATAAACTGATCATAAATATAAAAACAAATGAAATATGATTGTAAATTAGAGTTAAAAAATAAAACAAATCACAAAAGATTTTGGTCAAATCAGCTTTATATAAAAAGGGTATTCAGCTGTTTTCTAAAAGTGTCCAGACAGTCAATACTACATAAGAATAAAGATGGTTTTATATCTGATCTTTGGTGTGTGGACCTGGGGGCTCGAGTTGGAGCATAAGGCTTTAACAGTTCAGTAATATAGGGAGGAGCTTGACCATGTAGAGTATTGAAAGTTATAGTCAGGATTCTAAAATGAACTCTAAAGTTAACAAGTGCAGTGACATTAGAATGGAGGAGTGACCACCTTGCCGTTCTGATGGCGGTCAAGGGCTTTTTTGTTAAAACATGAAAAGTGTGTTTAAGTGAAAGTTTAATTATCTTTTATTACTTTCTTAAAAATATAACTTGTTCCATTTATTTTTTGCTGTCTTTTGATATGGACACATTTTGTTGTCTAGAATAAAGTTTGTTTAACAGTCAAAACATATAGAACTTAAATAAAAATTTTATGTATTGGTTTATCGGATGCTATTGAGCATATTTTCTCTTTTGTATTATGTTCAAATTTGTTGCCACCGGGAGCTTCAAGCAATTGTGGATGTGGTGTTACAGACCAGGTTATATTTAGTTTTGTGTGTATTTATAAGATTTACTCTTATTAGTTTCTAAGATTTTTTTAGATCTCACCTTGTTCCTTTGCGATCAAATCTTTTTTACTTCTTTGAGACATTTTGTTCTTTTTAAATGGACACTTGTAGATTTCCTGTTACTAACCATACCATACAATGTTTATTTATAAAACACATTTAAAAACAGCATGACAGTTGACCAAAGTGCTGTACAGTATTAAAAATGAATAAACACAAGACAAAATAAAAATTCAAATTAAAGAGATATTATTTTAAAATTTTATTTAACCCTCCACTGTCTTTAAAGGTGACCCTACGAGGAAAGTTGACCTTTGAGCAGGATTGATGGTTTATCCCTTGAGGTCCAAGTGGCAGGGGTGAGGTGGTGCTCACTCCTCACCCCTGCCACATGGACCCAAGGGATAAACCATCAATCCTGCTCAAAGGTCAACTTTCCTCGCGGGGTCACACCCATTAGGACAGTGGGAGGGTTAAAAGAGCATCTAAAGTAAAACAAGGCCAGGGAGAGAGGGGGGGGGGGGGGGGGGGGGGCATTTCCAAGGTAAATTTTTGTCCCCTCCCCTTTTTACTTTATATGGTAAGATAAATTCTAACATCTGTTTTTCTCATTTCAGTCTGCATCCAGTCCAAATCTCCAGAACCATTTTATCACAGAACTGTTTTCCTTGTGTGACCCTGTTTTTGTCAATAAGTTTCTTTGACACCAATACCAAACTTTCAAAAAGATTCGTCTTTGTCAATAGCTGAATATTTGAATGAAGGATGCGTCAAATTTATAGTTAGATTTAATGAAGCTGTCAACTTGATGGAAATATTTAGGTTGAGCCTCACCTTCTGCATTTCAGAAAATCAAGATCACAGTTGGAGCCGAGAACATGTGACTGAATTCCCTTGATGTTAGACTGAAGGCCTGCATGAACACATTGTTGCTTTTTTATATTCAAAGCCAACATCTGGTTTCCTGAGATTTTAATAATGTATGATTTTTTTTCTAAAAACCATTAAATATTTATTTAAACAAATTGCAAAAACAAAACAAAGCTGAAGTAAATAGAACTTTTTGACTTAAATGAACCAATGTTCTATTCCTACTTAAATAATACATGAAATAGCAAATAAGGGGTTGCCTGTCTGCCTTTGAATAAGATCAGTTCATCTGGTTTGTCCACTTGGGTGGAATGCACTATGACTGAGCAACCTCTGCAGATGCAACTTTGAAATTAAGAAAACTATTGCAATATTTTATCTGTAATTCCTAAGTGACACTTCGGACAGTTTCAAAACAAAATTCTTCTCTACGTCAGACTTTTAAGATCCAGCTAATATATAGCTGAGACAAAGAAGTGGCAAAACTAGATTTCAGAGAGAAGCTGGATAGTTATCACTGTACTTTTAAGCCTAACTTTTCTGGTAAGTATTTTTTTTTCTGTAATTACATGTAGTTAAAATTATCATACTTAATTATGAGATTTCCTGTAATGTGATGCATTGAAATGCTTTTGAAAAGCTTGTAGCTGGTTAAATTTACATGGAATACTAATTAAAAAAATACATTTGAAACGTTGGGTTTTTATTGATACTTTTAATATATGAACATAAAATGTTTTAAAAACTACAAAATTTGAATAGACAGGCATTTAGCCACAGGTGAGTCTAATGATTTATTTAAGAGGTGTCCAGCAGACAGGTGTCTAAAAACAGAAAAGCCCTTTCCATTTCATGCTGTCAGCAATGGCTCCACGTGGAAGAGAAATGTCACAAAAACTGAGAAAGGAAAACATTTCTTTACGCAAAAAAATGTGAGGGCTACAAGAAGATCAGCAAAGCTTTACATATCAGTCAAAATACTGTAGCAAAAATGTATTCCAGCTACAGGGGGATCACACTCGTGAGCCTCCCTGGTAAAGTCTATTCAGGGATTCTGGAGAGGAGGGTCCGACGGATTGTTCGACCTCAGATTCAGGAAGAGCAGTGTGGTTTTCATCCTGGTCATGAAACACTGGACCAGCTCTAAACCCTTAGGGGGTTTGGAGGGTGCATGGGAGTTGGCCCAGCCAATCTACATGTGTTTTGTGGATTTGGAGGCCTTCTACCACGTCCCTTGGCAGGGATTCACATTTCCGGCAGTAAGTCGGGCTCGTTTCTGATGAGAGTTGGAATTACCAAGGCTGCCTTTTGTCACCGATTCTGTTCATAACTTTTATGGACAGGATTTCTGGGCGCAGACTCTGGACAGCCCTTTAAAACAGTGACAGGAGGCACAAATTAGTAACCCAGCTACAACACAGCTTCCAGCACACAGGCTCTTCACAGCTGAAAAACTGAGCAGGCTGCACATGCTCAATAAACAGAAATTTCACATAAGTGTTCAAAAATGAGAAATAATTTCATCACAACATCATAAATATTCTATTTACCATTACAATTAGTTGTAGAAAGTTAATTTGGGTTACTTGCTAAAAATAGATTTCAGCTTCATAAACTTAATAGTAAAGGCAAACTATTGCATCGGGACTCTAATTCGGATCAGATTTGATGCTACAACGTTGGATCGGGATTAGAAGCCTAAAATGCTGATTGGGACATCCCTACAATTTAGTGTTAATTTTGAAAAAATTCAAATGGTTTCTGTAATAAAACGGAGCTTGTTGAAACACTGTCTTGCAATAGATCAAACTCGATGCAATTTGCTGGGTTCCTTATATAGGAAACTTTTTTTTTACTGACTGGTGTAATGAACTGAACTGTATTGGAATGTTTACTTTGTAAAGTGCCTTGAGACGACTCATGTCATGATTTGGCGCTATATAAAGAAACTGAATTGAATTGAATTTAACGACAAAGTAGTTTCTCTTTTGTACGTTCTTTTTGTGTTTTTATTTGTAATCCATTTCTTGTTCTTTTCTTAGACAGTTGAGTAAAAAAATTGTTTTTTTACTTGACATGTTTCAGCTAGTATCTCTAGCTAGTATCATTGGAGATAGCTGGTGTTGGTGGCATCCCATTCTTTTATCCGCGGGCAGCAGAGTACGGTGTCGCCCTTTACTCCCTAAAATGCAGATACCCAACATGGGCAATACAAAAAGGCAAACTACAAACAACAATAGAAATGAAAAACGAATCAACAAGAAGAACCAGAAACAGAAAGACCAGAACCAAAACCAGTGATAACCATTCCATATTTCAGAAAAAAAATTACGATGAAAAAACATAATATCAACAAACCAAGAAAACATTACATGAGAGTCAGAAAAAGATTAGTACACTCAAAGGACAAGATATCAGCAGAAAAAAAGTGGAGTCATATATTAAATACCATGCAAACTTTGCAATAAAAGATACACAGGAGAAACCGGACGCAAACTCAACACAATACATTTAGAACATCAAAGAGAGTGCGAGAAGGAAACAAGTTGAAGATGCACAAGAGCAGCAAAACAAGAAGCAGAAAGTATAAAGAAATCAGTTGTAACCGATGGTTGTAACAAACCACCGCAAAAGGGAAAATCATATAATGGACCACAAAAATACAAAAGATGGCTCAAAGAAGCAATAGAAATAAGGAGACGTGGGCCCAAAGCCATGAACAGAGACACTGGAGTATTCAAATTATATCACGCAAGGGACAGTGTAATCAGCAAGGAGGACGTGGGCTGTAGAGGGCGACACCATCTTTTGCTGCCCTCGGATGAAAGGAAGTGATGCCACCAACGCTGCTGATCACTGATGATGGCTAGAGATACTAGCTGAAACATGTCTGGTAAAAAATATAATTTTTTTACAAAACCGTGTAAGAAGTCATTTTTCAACTGCATGTCAGAAATGTTGTAATGTCAGGTGTGGTGTTGGTCATTGTGGTCCACATTATAAATTGTAAAGCAAATGCCTGCTAAATATGTTTTGATAATCTGATGTAAAAAATTACAGGACAAAACGTAAAGGATATGGGGACCAAAAGGGTCCTAGGAGTTCTAGTGATGGTGACAGGTAAGTTGATCATGATGCTAAACAAATTTGATTTTGCGACATTTATGAAATGTTGTGAAAAATGAGTATGCAAAAACAGATTTATGTTGCATATCTACACAGCTGTGATAACAGGCATGAGAGGAGCCTCGACAGCTGCTCAAACTATCAATACAGAAGCCAGCACGACAAACACATTTGCTCCAACAAAAACAGAATCTCAAAGCATAGCCAAAGGTGACCTAACAACTACAATGACCAAAGATGCAACAATCACTGCAGTCCCAACAACCATAAGCACAAATGTCGCAACCACGGCTGCTCCAACAACCACCACAGCTGTCCCAACAACGGCCACAGGAGCCCAAAAAAATACCACACCTGCACCATTGACATTAGCAGCTCCAGTGACCACACCTGCTCGACCAACTACCACAGCTGCTCCAACATTAACCATGTCTACTCAGACTACAACCATGGCTGTTCCAATAACAACCACAGCTGCCCCAACACTAACCACAGCTGCTCCAACTGCAGTCACAGTTGTTCCAACAGCTACCACAGGTGCACAGACAACAACAAGACCATCAATTACAAAAAAGGAAGCTCCAACAACAACCACAGCAGCTCCAACTTCAACCACAGCTGCTCCAACAAAAACTAGAAAAGCCCCAACAGCAACCATAGCTGCTCCAACAAGCACAGCAGCTTCAACTATAACTACAACTGCCCAAACAACAACGATGGCAACTTCAACTACAAACACAACTGCCTCAACTTTAACCACGGCTGCTCTAACTATAACCACAGCTTCTCAAACAACTACCACATCTGCCACAACTATCTCAGCTGCTGCACCAACCACAACAGCAGCTCCAACTACAACCACAGCTCCCCCGACATCAACCACACCTGCCCCAGTAACAACCACAGCAGCTCCAACAACATTCACAGCTGCTCCAAAAAGCACCACACATGACCCAACAACATCCACGGGTGCTCTAGCAACCACCACAGTTGTTCCAAGTGCAAACACAGCTTCTGCAACAACCATGACAGCTTTAACCACAACAACAACAGCACAAACAACTGCAAATACCTCAGCAACAACCACAGCAGCTTCAACAGCTGCCCCTACTACAGCTGCAGCAGCTTCAACAGCTGCCCCTACTACAGCTGCAGTAGCTTCAACTATTAGAAAAGGAATTCTAAAAACAACTACAGCTGCTTTAACAACAACCACACATGCCCCAACTGCAACCACAGTTGCCCCAACAGCATCCATGGGTGCTTCGAAAACAACCATGTTTGTCCCTCGGTCAACCTCAGCTGCTGCAACAACAACCATGGAATCTCCAGTTACAATCACAAGTACCCCAACACAAACCACAACTGCCCCAACAACCATGATTGATAAAACTATAACAGCGGTTGTTCCAAAAACTACCACCACAGCCCCAACAACAACTACACCTGCCCAACAAACTACAGAAGCTACAACCACACCCACAGCAGCCCCAACAACAGCAATGACAGCTCCACCTACTACCGCAGCTGCTCCAACAACCATGATTGATAAAACTATAACCATGCTTGTTCCAACAACTACCACAGCAGCCCCAACAACATCCACAGGTGCTCCAGAAACAACCACAGTTGCTGCGAGTGCAACCACAGCTTCTGCAACAACAACCATGACAGCTTTAACCACAACAACAGCAGCTTCAACAACAACTGCCCCAACTACAACCGCAGCTGCATCAACTACTACAACAGCAATTCTAAAAACAACTACAGCTGCTTCAACAACAACCACACATGCCCCAACTGCAACCACAGTTGCCCCAACAACATCCAAGGGTGCTTCAAAAACAGCCACATTTGTCCCTCGGTCAACCTCAGTTGCTACAACAACAACCATGGCATCTCCAATTACTATCACAAGTACCCCAATGCAAACCACAGCTGCCCCAACTACAGCAATGGCAGCTCCAAACACTACCACAGCTGCTCCAACAACCATGACTGATACAACTACAACCACGGTTGATACAACTACAACCGCGGTTGTTCGAACAACTACCACAGCAGCCCCAACAACAACCACACCTACACAACAAACAACAGAAGCTACAACCACACCCACAGCAGCCCCAACAACATCCACAGGTGCTCCAGCAACAACCACAGTTGCTGCGAGTGCAACCACAGCTTCTGCAACAACAACCATGACAGCTTTAACCACAACAACAGCAGCTTCAACAACAACTGCCCCAACTACAACCGCAGCTGCATCAACTACTATAACAGCAATTCTAAAAACAACTACAGCTGCTTCAACAACAACCACACATGCCCCAACTGCAACCACAATTGCCCCAACTGCAACCACAGTTGCCCCAACAACATCCAAGGGTGCTTCAAAAACAACCACATTTGTCCCTCGGTCAACCTCAGCTGCTACAACAACAACCACGGCATCTCCAATTACAATCACAAGTACCCCAACACAAACCACAGCTGCCCCAACTACAGCAATGGCAGCTCCACATACTACCACAGCTGCTCCAACAACCACGACTGATACAACTACAACCGCGGTTGATACAACTACAACCACGGTTGTTCCAACAACTATCACAGCAGCCCCAACAACAACCACACCTACCCAACAAACAACAGAAGCTACAACCACACCCACAGCAGCCCCAACAACCATGATTGATAAAACTACAACAGCGGTTGTTCCAAAAACTACCACAGCAGCCCCAACAACAACTACACCTGCCCAACAAACAACAGAAGCTACAACCACAACCACAGCAGCCCCAACAACAGCAATGACTGCTCCACCTACTACCACAGCTGCTCCAACATCCATGATTGATAAAACTATAACCATGCTTGTTCCAACAACTACCACAGCAGCCCCAACAACATCCACAGGTTCTCCAGCAATAACCACAGTTGCTGCGAGTGCAACCACAGCTTCTGCAACAACAACCATGACAGCTTTAACCACAACAACAGCAGCTTCAACAACAACTGCCCCAACTACAACCACAGCTGCATCAACTACTACAACAGCAATTCTAAAAACAACTACAGCTGCTTCAACAACAACCAAACATGCCCTAACTGCAACCACAGTTGCCCCAACAACATCCAAGGGTGCTTCAAAAACAACCACATTTGTCCCTCGGTCAACCTCAGCTGCTACAACAACAACCACGGCATCTCCAATTACAATCACAAGTACCCCAACACAAACCACAGCTGCCCCAACTACAGCAATGGCAGCTCCACAAACTACCACAGCTGCTCCAACAACCATGACTGATACAACTACAAACGCGGTTGATACAACTACAACTGCGGTTGTTCCAACAACTACCACAGAAGCCCCAACAACAACCACACCTACCCAACAAACAAAAGAAGCTACAACCACACCCACAGCAGCCCCAACAACATCGACAGGTGCTCCAGCAACAACCACAGTTGCTGCGAGTGCAACCACAGCTTCTGCAACAACAACCATGATAGCTTTAACCACAACAACTGCAGCTTCAACAACAACTGCCCCAACTACAACCGCAGCGGCATCAACTACTACAACAGCAATTCTAAAAACAACTACAGCTGCTTCAACAACAACCACACATGCCCCAACTGCAACCACAATTGCCCCAACTTCAGCCACAGTTGCCGCAACAACATCCAAGGGTGCTTCAAAAACAACCACATTTGTCCCTCGGTCAACCTCAGCTGCTACAACAACAACCACGGCATCTCCAATTACAATCACAAATACCCCAACACAAACCACAGCTGCCCCAACTACAGCAATGGCAGCTCCATTTACTACCAGAGCTGCTCCAACAACCACGACTGATACAACTACAACTGCGGTTGATACAACTACAACCGCAGTTGTTCAAACAACTACCACAGCAGCCCCAACAACAACCACACCTACCCAACAAACGACAGAAGCTACAACCACACCCACAGCAGCCCCAACAACCATGATTGATAAAACTACAACAGCGGTTGTTCCAGAAACTACCACAGCAGCCCCAACAACAGCAATGACTGCTCCACCTACTACCACAGCTGCTCCAACTACCATGATTGATAAAACTATAACCATGCTTGTTCCAACAACTACCACAGCAGCCCCAACAACATCCACAGGTGCTCCAGCAACAACCACAGTTGCTGCGAGTGCAACCACAGCTTCTGCAGCAACAACCATGACAGCTTTAACCACAACAACAGCAGCTTCAACAACAACTGCCCCAACTACAACCACAGCTGCATCAACTTCTACAACAGCAATTCTAAAAACAACTACAGCTGCTTCAACACCAACCAAACATGCCCCAACTGCAACCACAGTTGCCCCAACAACATCCAAGGGTGCTTCAAAAACAACCACATTTGTCCCTCGGTCAACCTCAGCTGCTACAACAACAACCACGGCATCTCCAATTACAATCACACGTACCCCAACACAAACCACAGCTGCCCCAACTACAGCAATGGCAGCTCCACAAACTACCACAGCTGCTCCAACAACCATGAATGATACAACTACAAACGTGGTTGATACAACTACAACCGCGGTTGTTCCAACAACTACCACAGCAGCCCCAACAACAACCACACCTACCCAACAAACAAAAGAAGCTACAACCACACCCACAGCAGCCTCAACAACATCCACAGGTGCTCCAGCAACAACCACAGTTGCTGCGAGTGCAACCACAGCTTCTGCAACAACAACCATGATAGCTTTAACCACAACAACAGCAACTTCAACAACAACTGCCCCAACTACAACCGCAGGGGCATCAACTACTACAACAGCAATTCTAAAAACAACTACAGCTGCTTCAACAACAACCACACATGCCCCAACTGCAACCACAATTGCCCCAACTTCAGCCACAGTTGCCGCAACAACATCCAAGGGTGCTTCAAAAATAACCACATTTGTCCCTCGGTCAACCTCAAATGCTACAACAACAACCACGGCATCTCCAATTACAATCACAAGTACCCCAACACAAACCACAGCTGCCCCAACTACAGCAATGGCAGCTCCACTTACTACCACAGCTGCTCCAACAACCACGACTGATACAACTGCAACCGCGGTTGATACAACTACAACCGCAGTTGTTCCAACAACTACCACAGCAGCCCCAATAACAACCACACCTACCCACCAAACGACAGAAGCTACAACCACACCCACAGCAGCCCCAACAACCATGATTGATAAAACTACAACAGCGGTTGTTCCAAAAACTACCACAGCAGCCCCAACAACAGCAATGACAGCTCCACCTACTACCGCAGCTGCTCCAACAACCATGATTGATAAAACTATAACCATGCTTGTTCCAACAACTACCACAGCAGCCCCAACAACATCCACAGGTGCTCCAGCAACAACCACAGTTGCTGCGAGTACAACCACAGCTTCTGCAACAACAACCATGACAGCTTTAACCACAACAACAGCAGCTTCAACAACAACTGCCCCAACTACAACCGCAGCTGCATCAACTACTACAACAGCAATTCTAAAAACAACTGCAGCTGCTTCGACAACAACCACACATGCCCCAACTGCAACCACAATTGCCCCAAATGCAACCACAGTTGCCCCACCAACATCCAAGGGTGCTTCAAAAACAACCACATTTGTCCCTCGGTCAACCTCAGCTGCTACAACAACAACCACGGCATCTCCAATTACAATCACAAGTACCCCAACACAAACCACAACTGCCCCAACTACAGCATTGGCAGCTCCACATACTACCACAGCTGCTCCAACAACCACGACTGATACAACTACAACCGCGGTTGTTCCAACAACTACCACAGCAGCCCCAACAACAACCACACCTACCCAACAAACAACAGAAGCTACAACCACATCCACAGCAGCCCCAACAACCATGATTGATAAAACTACAACAGCGGTTGTTCCAAAAACTACCACAGCAGCCCCAACAACAACTACACCTGCCCAACAAACTACAGAAGCTACAACCACACCCACAGCAGCCCCAACAACAGCAATGACAGCTCCACCTACTACCGCAGCTGCTCCAACAACCATGATTGATAAAACTATAACCATGCTTGTTCCAACAACTACCACAGCAGCCCCAACAGCATCCACAGGTGCTCCAGCAACAACCACAGTTGCTGCGAGTGCAACCACAGCTTCTGCAACAACAACCATGACAGCTTTAACCACAACAACAGCAGCTTCAACAACAACTGCCCCAACTACAACCACAGCTGCATCAACTACTTCAACAGCAATTCTAAAAACAACTACAGCTGCTTCAACAACAACCACACATGCCCCAACTGCAACCACAATTGCCCCAACTGCAACCACAGTTGCCCCAACAACATCCAAGGGTGCTTCAAAAACAACCACATTTGTCCCTCGGTCAAACTCAGCAGCTACAACAACAACCACGGCATCTCCAATTACAATCACAAGTACCCCAACACAAACCACAGCTGCCCCAACTACAGCAATGGCAGCTCCACATACTACCACAGCTGCTCCAACAACCATGACTGATACGACTACAACCGCGGTTGTTCCAACAACTACCACAGCAGCCCCAACAACAACCACACCTACCCAACAAACAACAGAAGCTACAACCACACCCACAGCAGCCCCAACAACCATGATTGATAAAACTACAACAGCGGTTGTTCCAAAAACTACCACAGCAGCCCCAACAACAACTACACCTGCCCAACAAACAACAGAAGCTACAACCACACCCACAGCAGCCCCAACAACAGCAATGACAGCTCCAACTACTACTGCAGCTGCTCCAACAACCATGATTGATAAAACTATAACCATCCTTGTTCCAACAACTACCACAGCAGCCCCAACAACATCCACAGGTGCTCCAGCAACAACCTCAGTTGCTGCGAGTGCAACCACAGCTTCTGCAACAACAACCATGACAGCTTTAACCACAAAAACAGCAGCTTCAACAACAACTGCCCCAACTACAACCGCAGCTGCATCAACTACTACAACAGCAATTCTAAAAACAACTACAGCTGCTTCAACAACAACCACACATGCCCCAACTGCAACCACAATTGCCCCAACTGCAACCACAGTTGCCCAAACAACATCCAAGGGTGCTTCAAAAACAACCACATTTGTCCCTTGGTCAACCTCAGCTGCTACAACAACAACCACGGCATCTCCAATTACAATCACAAGTACCCCAACACAAACCACAGCTGCCCCAACTACAGCATTGGCAGCTCCACATACTACCACAGCTGCTCCAACAACCACGACTGATACAACTACAACCGCGGTTGATACAACTACAACCGCAGTTGTTCCAACAACTACCACAGCAGCCCCAACAACAACCACACCTACCCAACAAACAACAGAAGCTACAACCACACCCACAGCAGCCCCAACAACCATGATTGATAAAACTACAACAGCGGTTGTTCCAAAAACTACCACAGCAGCCCCAACAACAACTACACCTGCCCAACAAACTACAGAAGCTACAACCACACCCACAGCAGCCCCAACAACAGCAATGACAGCTCCACCTACTACCGCAGCTGCTCAAACAACCATGATTGATAAAACTATAACCATGCTTGTTCCAACAACTACCACAGCAGCCCCAACAGCATCCACAGGTGCTCCAGCAACAACCACAGTTGCTGCGAGTGCAACCACAGCTTCTGCAACAACAACCATGACAGCTTTAAACACAACAGCAGCTTCAACAACAACTGCCCCGACTACAACCGCTGCTGCATCAACTACTACAACAGCAATTCTAAAAACAACTACAGCTGCTTCAACAACAACCACACATGCCCCAACTGCAACCACAATTGCCCCAACAACATCCAAGGGTGCTTCAAAAACAACCACATTTGTCCCTCGGTCAACCTCGGCTGCTACAACAACAACCATGGCATCTCCAATTACAATCACAAGTACCCCAACACAAACCACAGCTGCCCCAACTACAGCAATGGCAGCTCCACAAACTACCACAGCTGCTCCAACAACCATGACTGATACAACTACAAACGCGGTTGATACAACTACAACCGCGGTAGTTCCAACAACTACCACAGCAGCCCCAACAACAACCACACCTACCCAACAAACAACAGAAGCTACAACCACACCCACAGCAGCCCCAACAACCATGATTGATAAAACTACAACAGCGGTTGTTCCAAAAACTACCACAGCAGCCCCAACAACAACTACACCTGCCCAACAAACAACAGAAGCTAAAACCACAACCACAGCAGCCCCAACAACAGCAATGACTGCTCCACCTACTACCACAGCTGCTCCAACATCCATGATTGATAAAACTATAACCATGCTTGTTCCAACAACTACCACAGAAGCCCCAACAACATCCACAGGTTCTCCAGCAATAACCACAGTTGCTGCGAGTGCAACCACAGCTTCTGCAACAACAACCATGACAGCTTTAACCACAACAACAGCAGCTTCAACAACAACTGCCCCAACTACAACCACAGCTGCATCAACTACTACAACAGCAATTCTAAAAACAACTACAGCTGCTTCAACAACAACCAAACATGCCCTAACTGCAACCACAGTTGCCCCAACAACATCCAAGGGTGCTTCAAAAACAACCACATTTGTCCCTCGGTCAACCTCAGCTGCTACAACAACAACCACGGCATCTCCAATTACAATCACAAGTACCCCAACACAAACCACAGCTGCCCCAACTACAGCAATGGCAGCTCCACAAACTACCACAGCTGCTCCAACAACCATGACTGATACAACTACAAACGCGGTTGATACAACTACAACTGCGGTTGTTCCAACAACTACCACAGAAGCCCCAACAACAACCACACCTACCCAACAAACAAAAGAAGCTACAACCACACCCACAGCAGCCCCAACAACATCGACAGGTGCTCCAGCAACAACCACAGTTGCTGCGAGTGCAACCACAGCTTCTGCAACAACAACCATGATAGCTTTAACCACAACAACTGCAGCTTCAACAACAACTGCCCCAACTACAACCGCAGCGGCATCAACTACTACAACAGCAATTCTAAAAACAACTACAGCTGCTTCAACAACAACCACACATGCCCCAACTGCAACCACAATTGCCCCAACTTCAGCCACAGTTGCCGCAACAACATCCAAGGGTGCTTCAAAAACAACCACATTTGTCCCTCGGTCAACCTCAGCTGCTACAACAACAACCACGGCATCTCCAATTACAATCACAAATACCCCAACACAAACCACAGCTGCCCCAACTACAGCAATGGCAGCTCCATTTACTACCAGAGCTGCTCCAACAACCACGACTGATACAACTACAACTGCGGTTGATACAACTACAACCGCAGTTGTTCAAACAACTACCACAGCAGCCCCAACAACAACCACACCTACCCAACAAACGACAGAAGCTACAACCACACCCACAGCAGCCCCAACAACCATGATTGATAAAACTACAACAGCGGTTGTTCCAGAAACTACCACAGCAGCCCCAACAACAGCAATGACTGCTCCACCTACTACCACAGCTGCTCCAACTACCATGATTGATAAAACTATAACCATGCTTGTTCCAACAACTACCACAGCAGCCCCAACAACATCCACAGGTGCTCCAGCAACAACCACAGTTGCTGCGAGTGCAACCACAGCTTCTGCAGCAACAACCATGACAGCTTTAACCACAACAACAGCAGCTTCAACAACAACTGCCCCAACTACAACCACAGCTGCATCAACTTCTACAACAGCAATTCTAAAAACAACTACAGCTGCTTCAACACCAACCAAACATGCCCCAACTGCAACCACAGTTGCCCCAACAACATCCAAGGGTGCTTCAAAAACAACCACATTTGTCCCTCGGTCAACCTCAGCTGCTACAACAACAACCACGGCATCTCCAATTACAATCACACGTACCCCAACACAAACCACAGCTGCCACAACTACAGCAATGGCAGCTCCACAAACTACCACAGCTGCTCCAACAACCATGAATGATACAACTACAAACGTGGTTGATACAACTACAACCGCGGTTGTTCCAACAACTACCACAGCAGCCCCAACAACAACCACACCTACCCAACAAACAAAAGAAGCTACAACCACACCCACAGCAGCCTCAACAACATCCACAGGTGCTCCAGCAACAACCACAGTTGCTGCGAGTGCAACCACAGCTTCTGCAACAACAACCATGATAGCTTTAACCACAACAACAGCAACTTCAACAACAACTGCCCCAACTACAACCGCAGGGGCATCAACTACTACAACAGCAATTCTAAAAACAACTACAGCTGCTTCAACAACAACCACACATGCCCCAACTGCAACCACAATTGCCCCAACTTCAGCCACAGTTGCCGCAACAACATCCAAGGGTGCTTCAAAAATAACCACATTTGTCCCTCGGTCAACCTCAAATGCTACAACAACAACCACGGCATCTCCAATTACAATCACAAGTACCCCAACACAAACCACAGCTGCCCCAACTACAGCAATGGCAGCTCCACTTACTACCACAGCTGCTCCAACAACCACGACTGATACAACTGCAACCGCGGTTGATACAACTACAACCGCAGTTGTTCCAACAACTACCACAGCAGCCCCAATAACAACCACACCTACCCACCAAACGACAGAAGCTACAACCACACCCACAGCAGCCCCAACAACCATGATTGATAAAACTACAACAGCGGTTGTTCCAAAAACTACCACAGCAGCCCCAACAACAGCAATGACAGCTCCACCTACTACCGCAGCTGCTCCAACAACCATGATTGATAAAACTATAACCATGCTTGTTCCAACAACTACCACAGCAGCCCCAACAACATCCACAGGTGCTCCAGCAACAACCACAGTTGCTGCGAGTACAACCACAGCTTCTGCAACAACAACCATGACAGCTTTAACCACAACAACAGCAGCTTCAACAACAACTGCCCCAACTACAACCGCAGCTGCATCAACTACTACAACAGCAATTCTAAAAACAACTGCAGCTGCTTCGACAACAACCACACATGCCCCAACTGCAACCACAATTGCCCCAAATGCAACCACAGTTGCCCCACCAACATCCAAGGGTGCTTCAAAAACAACCACATTTGTCCCTCGGTCAACCTCAGCTGCTACAACAACAACCACGGCATCTCCAATTACAATCACAAGTACCCCAACACAAACCACAACTGCCCCAACTACAGCATTGGCAGCTCCACATACTACCACAGCTGCTCCAACAACCACGACTGATACAACTACAACCGCGGTTGTTCCAACAACTACCACAGCAGCCCCAACAACAACCACACCTACCCAACAAACAACAGAAGCTACAACCACACCCACAGCAGCCCCAACAACCATGATTGATAAAACTACAACAGCGGTTGTTCCAAAAACTACCACAGCAGCCCCAACAACAACTACACCTGCCCAACAAACTACAGAAGCTACAACCACACCCACAGCAGCCCCAACAACAGCAATGACAGCTCCACCTACTACCGCAGCTGCTCCAACAACCATGATTGATAAAACTATAACCATGCTTGTTCCAACAACTACCACAGCAGCCCCAACAGCATCCACAGGTGCTCCAGCAACAACCACAGTTGCTGCGAGTGCAACCACAGCTTCTGCAACAACAACCATGACAGCTTTAACCACAACAACAGCAGCTTCAACAACAACTGCCCCAACTACAACCACAGCTGCATCAACTACTACAACAGCAATTCTAAAAACAACTACAGCTGCTTCAACAACAACCACACATGCCCCAACTGCAACCACAATTGCCCCAACTGCAACCACAGTTGCCCCAACAACATCCAAGGGTGCTTCAAAAACAACCACATTTGTCCCTCGGTCAAACTCAGCAGCTACAACAACAACCACGGCATCTCCAATTACAATCACAAGTACCCCAACACAAACCACAGCTGCCCCAACTACAGCAATGGCAGCTCCACATACTACCACAGCTGCTCCAACAACCATGACTGATACGACTACAACCGCGGTTGTTCCAACAACTACCACAGCAGCCCCAACAACAACCACACCTACCCAACAAACAACAGAAGCTACAACCACACCCACAGCAGCCCCAACAACCATGATTGATAAAACTACAACAGCGGTTGTTCCAAAAACTACCACAGCAGCCCCAACAACAACTACACCTGCCCAACAAACAACAGAAGCTACAACCACACCCACAGCAGCCCCAACAACAGCAATGACAGCTCCAACTACTACTGCAGCTGCTCCAACAACCATGATTGATAAAACTATAACCATCCTTGTTCCAACAACTACCACAGCAGCCCCAACAACATCCACAGGTGCTCCAGCAACAACCTCAGTTGCTGCGAGTGCAACCACAGCTTCTGCAACAACAACCATGACAGCTTTAACCACAAAAACAGCAGCTTCAACAACAACTGCCCCAACTACAACCGCAGCTGCATCAACTACTACAACAGCAATTCTAAAAACAACTACAGCTGCTTCAACAACAACCACACATGCCCCAACTGCAACCACAATTGCCCCAACTGCAACCACAGTTGCCCAAACAACATCCAAGGGTGCTTCAAAAACAACCACATTTGTCCCTTGGTCAACCTCAGCTGCTACAACAACAACCACGGCATCTCCAATTACAATCACAAGTACCCCAACACAAACCACAGCTGCCCCAACTACAGCATTGGCAGCTCCACATACTACCACAGCTGCTCCAACAACCACGACTGATACAACTACAACCGCGGTTGATACAACTACAACCGCAGTTGTTCCAACAACTACCACAGCAGCCCCAACAACAACCACACCTACCCAACAAACAACAGAAGCTACAACCACACCCACAGCAGCCCCAACAACCATGATTGATAAAACTACAACAGCGGTTGTTCCAAAAACTACCACAGCAGCCCCAACAACAACTACACCTGCCCAACAAACTACAGAAGCTACAACCACACCCACAGCAGCCCCAACAACAGCAATGACAGCTCCACCTACTACCGCAGCTGCTCAAACAACCATGATTGATAAAACTATAACCATGCTTGTTCCAACAACTACCACAGCAGCCCCAACAGCATCCACAGGTGCTCCAGCAACAACCACAGTTGCTGCGAGTGCAACCACAGCTTCTGCAACAACAACCATGACAGCTTTAAACACAACAGCAGCTTCAACAACAACTGCCCCGACTACAACCGCTGCTGCATCAACTACTACAACAGCAATTCTAAAAACAACTACAGCTGCTTCAACAACAACCACACATGCCCCAACTGCAACCACAATTGCCCCAACAACATCCAAGGGTGCTTCAAAAACAACCACATTTGTCCCTCGGTCAACCTCGGCTGCTACAACAACAACCATGGCATCTCCAATTACAATCACAAGTACCCCAACACAAACCACAGCTGCCCCAACTACAGCAATGGCAGCTCCACAAACTACCACAGCTGCTCCAACAACCATGACTGATACAACTACAAACGCGGTTGATACAACTACAACCGCGGTAGTTCCAACAACTACCACAGCAGCCCCAACAACAACCACACCTACCCAACAAACAAAAGAAGCTACAACCACACCCACAGCAGCCCCAACAACATCCACAGGTGCTCCAGCAACAACCACAGTTGCTGCGAGTGCAACCACAGCTTCTGCAACAACAACCATGATAGCTTTAACCACAACAACAGCAGCTTCAACAACAACTGCCCCAACTACAACCGCAGCAGCATCAACTACTACAACAGCAATTCTAAAAACAACTACAGCTGCTTCAACAACAACCACACATGCCCCAACTGCAACCACAATTGCCCCAACTTCAGCCACAGTTGCCGCAACAACATCCAAGGGTGCTTCAAAAATAACCACATTTGTCCCTCGGTCAACCTCAGCTGCTACAACAACAACCACGGCATCTCCAATTACAATCACAAGTACCACAACACAAACCACAGCTGCCCCAACAACAGTAATGGCAGCTCCACTTACTACCACAGCTGCTCCAACAACCACGACTGATACAACTGCAACCGCGGTTGATACAACTATAACCGCAGTTGTTCCAACAACTACCACAGCAGCCCCAATAACAACCACACCTACCCAACAAACGACAGAAGCTACAACCACACCCACAGCAGCCCCAACAACCATGACTGATAAAACTACAACAGCGGTTGTTCCAAAAACTACCACAGCAGCCCCAACAACAGCAATGACAGCTCCACCTA